TCATAAGGACTTTGAAGAATGTAAAAGAGTTCTGGTTGAAAGAGGTGATGTCTCATAAATAAGAAAGGATTTCTACTTCCCTGGTCTTCAATGATTTTTTTTAATATAATTGCAAATGCATTTGCATCAGCTACTACAATGAGGATTAGTTTGATTTTTTTTTCTTTTAACCAGGTCAGCTGTACCTGAAAAGAGCTGCTTCAGCCAGGAAGAGAATTGCCAAACTTTGTGATGCATTTATTAAAGATGGGGCTGTAAGCATCATATTATATTAATTTCACCTTGTACATCTTTTTTTGACAATAACAAAACAACACTGGGGATTACTTTTGCTATCTAACACAGTTTTTCTGAGATACATAACTTATAGCATGGTCAGTAAAGTACTTACTTCAGTGGTGGATCTAGGGGAGGGGCAAGGGGGCCCAGGCCCCCCTTATTTTGGCTAAAATAAAAATCACAAAAGGAAAAAAAGCAGGCAGGTGTACACACACACAAAAAAATGGGCCACCACCTTAGCTCAAGGCCCAGATCTGCCACTGGATTCAATGTCTCCACTCCTCACTAATGCTCCAAACCATAAAACTGTTTTTGTTTTCAGTGATTTAATTCAAAGTGTGTGATTGCATGATCTTTAACTCTTTCAGACAATCCTTACTCATTCCCGATCCAGAGTTGTGTTGGAAATTTTTAAAATGGCCACTGAACAGAAAAAGCGCTTTAATGTTTTTGTGACAGAGTCAGCTCCAGATAAATCAGGGTAGGTTAAATACAGTGTAGTTTGCAATGATTTTTGATATATACCGTTAAGTAGTCTTGGAATTGAATAAAGGCTGATAGTTTCGAGAGAAACTGTTTGGGGCTGCGTCGGTGGGAGTAACGAAATAATTTGGATATAACAACAAAGATGAAATGGTAAATTGGCCACCATAATGATTACAAAAGCTGACGTTTCGAGCGTTAGCCCTTCGTTGGAGGGAATTAGTCTTGGAATTGTTGCAGGTCTTACGTGACCAGCAGTTTGAAGACTGTAGTGTTTTAGTGATTGGCATTAACTTTGTTGAGATTGCCCAGAGTCTTTGTGGTGCACATTTTGGCCATCATTTAGTATTGATCAAAGCCCTTGTCTGGAAGCTAAATAAAAGTGGTAAGCTCCCTAAGCAGGACCTGTGGAAGATACGCTGGCTAATGTTTAGAGCACTCGACTTGGGCTTGAGAGGTCTGGGTTCTGGTTGGGTCAATATGTTTTGGTTTTGGGCAAAAACGTTTCTCTCACAGTGCCTCTCTCCACTAAGGAATGGGCACCAGTGAAAAGCTGCAGGGGGGGGGGGGTAACCTTAAGATGGACCAGCATCCCATCCAGGAGGGAGTAGTGATACTCCTGGTGGCTTCATGTCAAGGAAACCTGGTTGATTCCTACATGCCTCAAATACAGACTTACCCTTTACATTCAAGTGGGCCTGTATGTGGTAATTTTGGTAACTGTAGAGCCATTACTTCTTATTGCCTTGACTGGTGAAGGATACTGGAACCATTACAGAACCAATGTGAATATCCTGTCTGCAATTTAATATAAAAACTTGGTCGTTCTGTTTTTGGTTTTGTTCATATATCTTCTATTTATTTTAAAGGAAATCTTTGTCTTTCAGGTATGGAATGCATGATCAATTAAAACAGTTTGGTA